CATTCAAGCTATTTAAAGGCACGAAGAATTTGTTTTCAAAGAATTTGTTTTCAAAACTTTTAAATATGTCAATTTGGGGATTTAAGATGAATTTTAAAGCTGCAGTCCGTAGCTTTTTTTTTTTTTGTTAAAAATTATCCAAAATGCATATTTGAGAGAATACATAACCAGCCAGTGTTCAAAACTATCTGCTTGCCTTAGCTCGATTCAAAGCGGTGAGTTTGTAATAATGTTTTTAATTCCAGTGGTACATGGTAATTTACTTTCCATGTCTTTGCGTCATTACGTTTCATATGTACACATAAAGGAGTGTCTGACACACAACCTCACAGTCTTCTCAAACATTGTGTTCATCCACGCTGTGCCGTGTCGAGGGTGCTGAAGTTCAACTCATGTAAAGTTGATAATTACACGAATGACTGCAATTGCAGATTTCAAACAGAGATGGCGAAAAAAGAGAAAAAAATGCAGCTTTAAGGGATGCGATTATTGACTACAGGGGGACATTATTTATTTTTTGCTTCAGATGCTGTAATTAAACCAAATGTTTGTTTTCTGCACATCAGCCTCTAAAGCAGTTGAATGTCTGCTGGATTCAAAGTGGGCCAAAGCAAAGAAGGGTGAGGAAGCTTTGTTCACAACCAGAGAGTCAGTGGTAGACTACTGCAACAGGTAAATCTAGTCTTTTTCTCTTATTTCATGATGCCAAATGGGATTTTTCAGTAGTATTTGATATTACAAAGCTGTTTATCGAAATAATTATTTGAGATATCGAATCTAAAGAAAAATGAAAAAAAGTCTATTTTAAGTCTAAGTCTAAAACAGTAATTTTGTGAAATTATCAGAGTATGAATGAAGAGTTGTCATTAGAAAACAGTGTTGTGGGAAGACAATACAGATAGAAGTCTTTACTGCCACTTTTACCACTTGTAATTGAATAACTTTTATTTAATTAAATTACAAATGTCTTGTAAAATTCTTCAATTCCATAATTTTGTGTACATCTCATTTGATTATTTTTTATATGATGCACCTCCATTAGTCTGCTCCCATTATATCTGTATTTGAGAATGTGTATTTTGAAAAATCTGTTTCAGGCAAACACTAATTTGAACTACTTTTACTATTCGCAGGCTCCTAAAGAAGCAGTTTTTCCACAGAGCCCTGAAAGTGATGAAGAAGAAGCCAGAGAAAGATGTAAAGAAAGAGAAGGAAAAAGAGAAAGAAAAGGAAAAAGAGAAGGCTAAAAGTGACAGCGGCAAGGAAGAGGAGAAAAAGAGCAAAAAAGACAAAGACAAAAAGAAGGATTCTGAGGCAGCGGACGTAAAGAAGGAAAAAAATGTATGACTAGAGGATATGAGAGTGCTGTTTCATGCGCACATGTGAATATCATGAATCTTTATTTTGATGGCTAATTTTTGTGTGTTTAGGATGACAGTCCAGGATCTCCAAAAAAGAAGAAGGATGTTAAAAAGAAGTTCAAGCTGGAACCTCATGAGGACCAACTGTTCTTGGATGGCAGTGAGGTCAGGATGAGTACCATTCAGAAAATCATAATAACAGATGCTTGTAAATATTAATCTCGTTTGACGATGAATGTTCATTTGCTAATGTTCATTCCTAACAACGCCCTTCAGCCGTGACTTATTCACCATACAGCACAGCCTGTCGCCCCTTATTGTGGTTATAAAACGGTTGCCACACAATACAAATATTAAAGCCAAAAATGTGCGTCAATGCTACTTTCATCAATTTTGGCTTTAACAATATCCACACTAGTAGCATAATTATTTTATTTAATAATTTACCTTAATATTTAATAATAACATTGTTAATATATTAGTCTTAATATTTGAATTATATTATAGACTTGCATATAATATTCAGGCTGGCTGGGTATTGTTAGTTGTTATTGTTTTGATAAAATGAAAATAGACTGTTATAGATTCTTCATGTCTTTTTTTCTAATGAAAAAGTTCAAACGTTTGTCTTCCCTACAGGTTTATTTTTGGATTTACGATCCAGTCCACTTTAAAACCTTTGCCATGGGATTGATTCTAGGTAGGATCTCTTCTTCTACAGTGTCTGTCGTTTGACTGGCTCCAGTCCTGATTCAGAGCGTTGTGTGTGTTTGCAGTCATTGCCGTCATCGCAGCCACTCTGTTCCCTCTGTGGCCTGCTGAGATGAGAGTTGGTGTGTATTACCTGAGCGTGGCTGCAGGATGCTTCGTCGCCAGCATACTACTACTGGCTGTTGGTACGACCTCAAGAATTTACATTCTAGTTGCAATTTGATTTCAAATGACATGTTCTATCTTTTCTCATCGTCTTATTCCTTCTTTTCCCTTTCGTTCAGCTCGTTGCATCTTGTTCCTGATCATCTGGGTGGTGACCGGCGGCCGCCATCACTTCTGGTTCCTACCAAACTTGACAGCCGACGTGGGCTTTATCGACTCTTTCCGGCCCCTCTATACGCATGAGTACAAGGGTCCCCGCTCCAGCTCCAAGAAATCCAGCAGCGAGAAATCTGACAAGGGCTCGGATTCCAGCAAAGCACAGAAATCAGATAGCGAGGATAAATCGGACAGCGAGAAGAAAGACGGCGAGGAGGAAGAGGATGAAGAAGATAATAAGGAAATGGAGGCGAGCGAAGAAGCGGGCGCAGAGCGTCAGTCGGACACGGACAGTGACAGGCGAGAGGACGAGGGTTCGCAACACAGCAACGGCAACGACTTTGAAATGATCACCAGAGAAGAGCTGGAGCAGCACACAGAAGAAGAGGAGGAGGAGGATGAGGAGGAAGTTGACGAAGAAGAGCAAAGTGAGAGAAAGCCCTTGACTGTTCAGACATAAACGTTTTCCTCACACCGCACACATACTCCCATGCTCCATGTGGACCTGCTGACGTACTTCTGTCAAGTTCAGAAGAGTTTCCCATTTCTGTTCAGGCTGAGATCTTCCTCTGTGAAAACAGACAGGCTTAAAAGGATAAACGAGAGCAGGAAACGGCTACGATGACAATGGAAATATCGCAAAGGCTGTTTGGTTTCCCTGAAAATGCTTTCCCCACTGTGGATGCAACAATGCAAGTCTCCCCGAGCCCCATGTTTCACTGGTTCCTTGATTTTTCTCTTTTTTCATGTTAACTTTATCTAATGTCAAAGTGTTTTGTTGTATAAACATGTTGGTAGTGTTAAGGACTCAACTTTCACAATGTTTTTTTTTTTTTTTACCCACATATGAATGTTCGCTCTCCAATAGTCTGTAAGATTCAAATTTGTAGTTGAAGGGTTTGTTCTTTCCTTTTTAGATACATTGGCTAATTTGGACGGACCAACATATTTTGTCTTGGATATCTATCGTTTCAGTCATTAATGTCAATGGCACTTGACCTGTGACATTTTGTTGAGGAACTCTGGGAGATCTTGCTAGGTTTGGGACGAGAGCTGTATTTTTGGGCAATTGACACAGTCTGCCACATACATTTCTGCAATTACGTTTTGTGACCCTAACGAGAAACGGAAAAACGGAGGGGTTAATAAATTTGAGCAGGATCCTTAACTGCGGTAGGCAGTTATTTAAAACCAAACTCCGTTTAAGTCTAATGAGGTCGACTGCATTCAAAAGGGGAAACTACATCCACATTCGTGCCAAATGATGCGGGATATTGATGCTTTTTTCATGTACATTTAAATTATGACCAACTTGCATATACATGTCATGCCGTAGTTCATATATGTCCCCTAGAGCCAATCACATCTGTGCATCATTAGCCTCTGGTTCTCCCGTCTGGTGTTTAAAGTCTGAGGCTGACAAATCGTACTTCCCTGAGCGGCTTGTGGTCCAAAATAGTTGGTTAGTTTGCGTTTTAACAGGGCCAAGGGCCAAGGTCCAATGCTATCTTTCCGTAGGGTTGCTAACTAATTGGCTAGAGTATTATTTTACATTAGCTGTTTCTTTGACTCATACTGAGGATGATATTTAAGAGATAAAATACAAATGTATCATTTATATATGGATTCTATAAATCTACCAGATATTGTTCATGCCAGCAGGTCAGGTTCAGCATGAACGCTACTCTATTTTATAATGTCAGACAGGTTTTTCATTTCACTGCATTTTGTGCTAGTACTAAAACCACCAATTGTTTTCAATGCCGAAGACTTCAGAAAGAATGCTTCAAACATTCTAGTAGTGGTTGTCAAAAGTGCACAAGACAAGATGCAGAAAAGGTGTATTAAAAAACTAAAAACCATTGTTGAACACATCTCTCAAAATTCATGGTCCTCTCAAGTTGACGAGGAGCAGGGAAAGCCCTCGTGCCTGAGAACGTCTCTCTTTCTCTTCATCAAATGTATGAATCTTTAACCACGTCTGTAAGTAGATGATCTCGTCAGTCAACACCCCAGAGGGGTCACACTTAGTGTTCCTGTAGAAGTACTTTGTATGGTTTCAATATTCTGTCATTGACTTGAAGACCTGGATAGACTGGGCATGACACCGTGTAATTAAAGACATGTTTTTACTTTAAATGGAATTTCACTCACCTTTTTTCTGTCCTGCTGTCTTTATGAGAGAGAAATATGTTGATATCCCAGCTGTTTTTTTTTAAAATATAATTTACAGGAAGTTTCATTTGACATTAGGTGATTCTGTCATATAAAAAATGTAGTTATACCATTTATAAAAAAAAAATTCAATCTCATCTTTTTTTATGTGGTCAGCATCTTCAACTAACTAATTGTCCGTATTTGGATCAATGTTGAGGAATGTCTTTTTGCAGTAAATGGAGAATAATTGAAGTGTCTGTCAAAAACTATGTATCCTTTCATTGCAATAAAATTATAGAACACAACCAGTTTGCATTGTTTTGTTGAAAACTGTCACAAGTATTTCAGTCTTCATTATATTTCAAAATAGCTATTATAGTTTTTAATATACATGTAATGATTTCTATTCCATTGCTCTACAAAAATTACAGATTGTTTCACTTAAGAAGCTTGACAGTCAAAAACAATTATATTTATTCCTTTATACATGAGATTAAATACAAGATTGTACATTGCAGGATCGAATGGTACATTTCTAATCTTGAGCATTAAGAACATTTAATAAAACTAAATAGTCTCTAAAATACAAGGCTATATTTAAAATAATAAAATAAAACATCCAAGATAATTAAGTTTATTGAAATATTACAAACAAGACAAATACATGTCATAGTATCTCTTATTTACATCGAAATGTAAACAGCTTACATTCAGCTATACCAGTTCTTATGCAATAATAATGTGATATGACTTTGATAAAGGATCAATAATACAGTGAGAAATGCAAAACAAAGTGCATTTGTAAAAATGAATAAATCCCAGCTTATGTAGTGTAAAAATTAAACACAGGATGGTGGCTTAAGAAATGCAGTATATATGTAGCACCATCCTGTGTCACCACAGGGAGGCAACAATGCTCTTTCTCAAGATTGACTTGGGTTCGACACAGACGGCCAACCTTCGAGAAAAACGAGAACACTCTGCAAAGGTTAGTCAAACTGAATGGAAATCGAACAATATCTAAAGTGAAATTTATGTACAAGCCTGCCAAACCGTGTTTAATCTTAGAAGATGAATGTACAACGTATTGCAAAAAAAAACAACAATAACTGACAAATAATGGCTTCCTATGCAATTTAATACCACACAAGAGGAACTTTTGTTGTAGAAAACCACATAGAAAGCCCAACTCATGTGACGTCTGTGGTAAATTTAATCAACGGCTACGTTTTAACGAGTTACGCACTGTAAAAACACCTCAAAATCAAAGTTTAATGCTCATGGACAAATGACATTTTCAGCTATAATGTGCATTTCCAGTTTTCCTAAACAACTATTTAAACATGGATGGATCTACAGGAAAAAAAATAAAGCATTTTTGTCAATTGTAAATGTCAAATGGTATTAAAAAACTGTTCAATAGCAAATTGAATCAGTTACTCTTCAGCATGTTGTTAATTATGAGAAGCCTTCAGCTACAGAAACAAAATGTAGGAAACCATCTACATAATGACGTTTAAACAAACTTTTGATATCGAAAAATTACGAGTAATCCAGGCTGACCTCTAACTAGTTAATGTGTTATTTTACAGGTAGAACATAAGCACTTGTGAGCTATACTGAAATAAATCTAGGAATGTGGACATGAACAATGTAATGTAAATATAAAGAACACTCCTTTTCAGTGAGTCAGGATGGAAATCTGAATTCATTTGGAATGTCAACAGACTGTGAGAACACTTGGTTTTTATGGTGGTTTCAGTTCTCCGTTTCAGAAGAGTCGCTGGCATCTGTTAAACGTGTTTGCTTCTTGCGAACGTTCCAGTGAAGACACTGAGCCAAACTGTCAAACCAGTCGTACACCAGATCGTGACAACAGATAGAAGGAACCGGAAAGCAAGAGGTTGTGATCTTAATGCTATGGGGGGGAAACAAAACTCATGATTAACAGATACAATTGTTGTGAGAGTTCAACTGAATGAAGCCAATGAATTCTTAATGAAAAATGGGCAAACTGCATTTAAACTGTACAAAGGCTGAGTGCTGCTGATCCCTACAGATACGGTTAATAACACAGCTGTTGTATTGCTGCATTATGAGGAAGTTAAAAGTTTGCTTATGGTATTATGTAAACGAGTGTCACCTGTCCCCGTGCTGGATTTCCTGCCTCTTTCTGCCATCAAATGAGACCCAGGCTGTGTTGCGAGCATCAGGTGATAGCGTTATCTGCAGAAAATACAGTAAGATAACACCGTTCTTCTGAAACTCTCATATGAGATGAATAAACTAAAATCGCAAATTTGCTTTGTAAATGTAGTCTTTCAAATGGCTAAACCTTGGCAAAAGTAATGTTCCTCTCACCATGAGTTCAACGCCAGCGGGCACCACTATGGGTCTGAACGAAAGGGAGTGAGGGCAGATGGGGGTCACCATAATGGCAGGGACATTGGGATGGATCATGGAAGCTCCCGCTGCAGCAGCGTAGGCCGTGCTGCCCGTGGGAGTGGAAACTATTACACCTGCGTAGAAACAAAGCCACATATTTGCATCTATTTTCATGGCAGCTGGACTCTCGTCAAAGCAAGCGAAAAGAGCATAATGTACTGTGTGACCTGCTTGAGCTAGAAGAAAAAACAAATCAAACACTTAGATGAAGTGCGTCTATCTTACACGCCATGGGGTCTATAAGATTTATTTGTTAATGTTTTTGATGTCTCTTATGCTCATCAGGGCTGTATTTATCTGATCACAAATATAGTAAACAGCAATATTGTGAAATATTACTATTATAATATATACATTTTAAAGTCCCCCAGTAATTTTATCCCTCAAAACTCATCTTTGATCACCAAATTGGACATTTAAAAAAAAAAAAATCCTGTGAATTTTTTTTTCATTCATATCTTTAAATAGTTTGAATGTCATTGCACAGCTTTGCTTCATTTAGTATACATGGAGCCATGGATATGCTAATTAGCCCTGCCTCCATTCACACCAGCTCCACTCGGTCAACTTTACTGAGGTAAACGCTTCACAATGATATCTTTACAGCATCAGACACATAATGGTAATTAATATAATTAGACTTTTTTTTGTTAGACAACATTATCAAACGGCTAACTAACGTTATCAAACTTTCATATCGACAAGAAATATACAGAAGAGATAACTTGGCTGCTCCTGTGACTCCCCTGCCTGTAAGAAACACCGGCGATTTCTCCGGTCTTTTTTTTCCCCACAGCAGTTTTGAGAAAATACTCAGCAATGGTACATTGACACATGAATTTGCACATGGTTTGTCTAGCATATTAAAAACATCACATAGACATATAAACAACATTTAAAACTGGATTTTCACCACAGGGTCTTAATTTATTTTAAAACGTAATTTATTCCTGTGGTGGCAAAGCTATATTTCCAGCATCATTACTCCAGTCTTCAGTGTCACATGATCCTTCAGAAATTATTCTACTATGCTGAATGTTTGCACTTTTGAAGATTCTTTGATGAATAAAAAGTTCAAAAGAACTTTTGATCAATTTAACACAACTTTGTTGAATAAAAGTATACATAATTGGGCCAGTAAATCTGTGCTCACCGTCTCCCTGTACAGATGTAATGAGACGTCCATCCAGGTAAAGGTCAACATTGGACAAGTAGGATGAGGGTCCTCTGTCCACCACCACCTCATTCAGCACCTTCATACACACATATAATATTCATATCACAGATGGTGAATGGATGAATTACACACAAAAGCATTTAACAAGCAGGTGTATTTCTGCGCAAATCACATGCCACTCTGGTCAAAAAGATCCATCTCAAACATGAAGGAAAAGGTTGTCAATGACATCATGTTATTGCTATGGTAACTAGACATAAGGACCTATTACAGCTGATATTTTCTAAGAACTCCTATTATGTCGGTCACCATGGACAAATGTCTTGCAGGAAAATTTAGAGAAAATTTATAAACCACTTATTTTACCATCAAGTGTAGAATTACACTGGCCTAAACAATCGTTTAAGCTTCTTTGGCCTAAAAAAAAATCCTTTTTTCCCTAAGATTATATCCAAAGAGTGCCCTTACATGGCAGACATTCATGTTTTTTTCTTGTGCAACAAATTTTAAGATATGCTTTGAAGACTTTTACTTGTCTTCTTCACGTCTCCTCAACCCTTACAACAATTTATAATTTATAACTATAACCAATGTATACGAGTCCTGCATTCTAGAAAATAAGTAAATTATTTTTACAGCTAACTAATAAATTGAATATTCATTGTGAGCAGGTACATGAATTTATATGTATATGTTTATAAATACACATGTGTTTGTGGATGTGCATGCATGTGTATGCTATGAATATGTACTCTTATTGTCCAAAAGTTTGGGGTCAACAAGATTTTTACCAATTGGTTTTGAAAGTCTGTTATGTTCAATAAGGCTGCAAATAATTGATAAAAATACAGTAAAAATAGAAATATTGCAAAATATTATTACAATTTAAAATAGCCATTTCTAACTGTAATTTCTTCCTTTGATGGCAAAGCTGAATTTTCAGCAGCCATTTATCTAGGCTTCAGTATCACATGATCCTTCAAAAATCAAGATGTTGATTGTGTGCTCGAGAAACATAATTATTATTCCCATTTTAAAACAGCTCTTCTAATTATTATTAATGTTAATATGAAGACAGCAGTTGTGGGGTTGATTTATATTATTGTGAACTGTTATACATTTTTCTTTGCAGGATACTTGGAAGAATAGTATTTATTTGAAATATAAATCTTTTATTACATTATAATTTTAATTACTGTCACTTTTGATTCATTTAATATATCCTTGCTAAATAAAAGTATTGATTTCCTACAAAAGAAATCTTTCTGATCCCAAACATTAGAACCGTAATGTTTATGTATACATTTATAAATATAAATGCACTCTTGTGTGTATATATACATATATATAAAAATCTATTATTTGGTACAAAGCACTAGGTAAAATTAGTTCAGAATGTGAGTCTGATACTGCTCCATAGGGCTTTGATTATGAGGAGTGTTTTATGGCATCTCTCTTTGTGTCATGTGACTGGTAGACACCATATCATCAGATTTTTTTTTCAGTGTCCTTATTGATGTATTGTAGGTTTGAATTTTGACAGTATTTATATTTAAACAAATGTATTTATTTTTAATTTTGTGTTAAAATGTGTTGGCAAATAAAAGACAGACTTATGTTACCTGTAACTGCAGTGTGATTTTGCCTGCCTCATTATTTATGTGGTTATTAGGCACTATTCCATTCTCCTGAGTGCTGAAGAGCTGCTCGTTTCTCTGGAACATGCCTTTCACCACCTTGACTTTCAGACGACTTCGCAGAATGATGGCAGCATTACCTAGAAGAGCCAGGCACAAACACTTCAGATAACAAACATCACGCTACAAAACTAAAACTAGTTTAAAATCTAGTTTCAAAGATATTTTCAAAGAAAATATAAGAAACTTTCCATCACACTACCTTCAAAAACTTTATCCACCTCTGTTTTAAAGGACTCAAACTTAAATGGTGTGAGAAATCCTAAGGAACCCAGACGGAAGGCCATGACCGGGGGTACACTGCCCTTAAACAAATGAGACAAAACACCATGGATGATTGAACCAACTACCTTTTGCATATTCAAATTCTCTCAGCTAATATGGAGCACACAGAGACCATCCAATGGAAAGCAGCTCAGAATGACCTAGTAGGACTCCTGTGTACAAACAAATGAGATGAGATGAAAGAATACCTGGAAAAGAGATGATGCATACAGAAGAGTCCCATCTCCACCCAAACAAATAATCAGATCAATGCACTCCGAGATGTCATCATACCCTGTACGAACAAACACAATGATGAATTGCTCATTTTCTTAATGCACCTACTCCATTATTGGTTAATGGTGTGTCAGGGTTATGTAAATCCTGTTACTGGTCAACCTGCTGACAATTCACTTATATGCAAAACTATCGGGTTTCAGTACCTTCTCTGAATGTGCACAGCTGATTGCGGATGGGGGAAAATGACTCATCCTTCATGAGAGAGCCATCGTCCACAACTTTCTTCTCCACATAAACCATCAGATGTTTCTCCTGATGGTAGAAATAATTTAGATCAAATTTGTATAATCAAATCTAAACATAAATCTTATATAACACAATGAAAATAAAAGGGAAACAAAACAGCACCTGTAGCTTTAAAGACTATAAATCAACAACTAGCATTGCTTTTAGATTGGATTTCGAGTAACCTACCTCCACGAGAAACCTGCAAAGCTCTTTGAACGGCTCCAGCAGGGTCTCATCTCGGATCTTTCTGATGACCAGGACATTGAGTGGTGGTTTGCTCCAGGTGAGCCGCTGGCTGGCTGGATCCTGAATGTGCCTGCAAGGAAAGTCGACAGAATAGGCAAACATTCTAAGAGTCTGCTGTGCTGTACTTCACACAGAGAAACTCTGCATGCCATGTACTTTGTACGCTCATTACGCAACTTAAAGTCACGGTCAAACGTTTAGTAAGCACAGTAAATGTGGACTTCTGCTTTTGGTTTCTGGCAGATCTAGCATCAGATATTGATAAATGGGGGCGGGGGATGAAAATAATAATAATAATAGCTGCAAGCAGCATTTAGTGGGGTTCAAGTATTTAAGGCCTTTAAGAACATACACATACAAGACATTAAGTTTTATTTAGCAAGCATTTCACAACTGACATAATTTTGCATGCTTGTTCAGAATGTTGTCACACATGCTCACCAATTTTTTTGTGACGTTTGTTTAGGATTTATAGGCTTCTGACTGCATTTTGCCAATTTCTAAATGACCCATTTATAGCCAAACAAATGCAAAATTCCAATTTTTTTTTTTTTTTGAGAATTATCAAAAAAAACTTTTTTTTTTTAGGTTTTTCACAAAATCCAAAATGGCGGAAAAATTGATGAGGAGGTATTTCCAAGCAATTCGAAAAAGGAATATTTCGCAAAACTGCAATGGAAACAAGTTTTGCGCATTGACAGACACCTGACTTAGAAGACGCAGTGTGTTTGTAGTCCATGTCCACAAATAATAATAATTATCAATATCAACATTATTATAACATTTAATAGGCTACGTTTGTAGAAGACGCTTTTATCCAAAAAAGGAACAATGCAATTTGTCACACTGTATCATTCATAATAAAGGTTGGACAAAAACAATACAGGGCTAAGATTATCACAAACACACAGATTCTGACGCATATCCAAGTGTTTGTGCAGAGTGTGGAGTGCACACTGGATGGCAGGGAGGCACGGGCACAAACACTTGCATTTTCCTTTAACATTCATAACATCTAAACAACATGTGAAGAAAATGTGAAGGCACAACATCAGATTTCAAACCACAAACCCCACATTACCCTCTGCGGTTGTTTTGTCCTGAGGGGAGTAAAACAGGCATAGTGCTGGAAGGAGTCCGTTAGAAAGTTCCAGCATGAACGCTCCTGTGATGGCAGCAGCAGTACCAGACTGCACTGTTATCCAGCTCCTCCCAAAAAAAAAACACCCTCTGGCACAGAGGGTCCTGTCACTTGATTGTCCAATCCTTTGTTTGACTTAATGTTAAACATTAACAAGGGATGTGACCTTACCCCTCACCTAAAGAAGGCCTGACTGCGCTTACTTACATGACTGAGGTGGGGTTGGGCAGAATGCAAGCTTTGGGTCCAAAGTGAGTAGCAGGATATGGTCCATGTAGAAAGTGCCCACGTCTGGAACAGACAGACAATTCACTTAAGTCCCTTCACATTTTTATCTTTAGGGTTGAACTGATCTACATCAAATGACGTTTTATATACCTGCATCTATCCCATCTTTTTGGGCAACTCTCTGCAGTGTCCTCCACTGATGCAGAGGCTTCTGATTCGTGCTGGTCAGGCAACCGATGTAAGCTTCCCCCCGACAGGTGTTCTGGACAGTCCGGCCTCCGAAGAGACCTCTTCACCTCTTTCCGTCTCCTAGGAAGTTTTCCCTGCCGTTCCTGCTGCCTCTGTGAACGCTTAGATGAACCACCCTCCTCTGCGTTTCTGGAGGGCAGCCCGTCTTCCATGCCTTCAATTCTTATGGGGGGAAAAAACAATTCAACATTATTACAAGAATCAAATAAATTCTAAAAATGAGGTGGACGACATAATAATTCAGCCCCCTCAGGGGGGAAGGGGTTGATCTCACCTTTGCTTAGCTTATATATAATCTTGTTGATCAAAATAGACGTTTTGACATGCTTTTACAAAACATGCTAATGACATGCTTATGTGAACAGAGGAATTAAAACATATTCAGCTGGTGTCATGTGTAAATAGATTTATATTCCTTCCCTCACTGATACAAGCAAAACTATTATTTCACAAATATTATTTGCCTATTTTAACACCATTCTATTATCATACATTTAACTTTTAGTTTATGGTAGAGAATCGATTACATTAAAAATATACATAATTCACCATCTTGCAACGCAATTTAGCACAAACTAGGTGAGGTGTAAAGGGGTGAAGACTTAGAACTATATTAAAATATAGTCACTTTAAACTGTAACACTAAAACCTTATTGTTGATGTAAACAATTCCAAGGACATGTTATGTGTCAACTACCCATCCCATGTATTTATTTACCACGAATAGCCAGCAAACGCATCTGATGTTTGCTGCACAATACGCAAAGGCAGATTTACTCATTCTACTAAACATGCGCACTATCAAGCTACTAACAAGGTTTTGCGGTCACAAGGAGCAATTGTCTTTAAATAAGTTAAGCGACTCGAGACATCGCACTGAAAACACACATCAGTATGATCATATCCATCGACCAAAACTTCCCCTAAGTAAAGTTAGCCGCGGAGCTACCGTTAGCTAAACAAACACTTCCCCAGCGCTTACCACACACAACAGGAAACACCGCGAAACTTCCTCTTTGGACAGTCTTTCACCACCTAAGAGGTTAATTTAATACACTAGACCGCGTTACCTTGACAACGACATTAACGCCTACGCCTTATGCGTGTTAAAATTATTTGTCATGGGATGTCCACAATGACATCACGAGGCTGATCGTGACAGTCTAGCTGTTGCGCAGAATCTCTGAGAAGCAAATGAAAACTATCGCTTTAGTTTTTATGCCTTGATTTTATTTATCGACTTTTTTTTCTTTCTGTTTTTTTTTTTTTTTGCATTTATTTAGTCTTGCTGAAAAAAAACTTAATTGACAACCATAGACTGTTGACAACCTGAACTCAACATATCAAGAAGTAGCCTAGACATGCATGCTGATGCTTGCGATAAACATAAGTAAGCCTACTGTAAACTACGTTAGGCTACGGGTACACCTCACAATGTTTCTCGAGTAAATAAACAATAGATTATTTTTATTTAAATCTTATCACATGATAAATTGTATTTACATAGATGTGTAACTAGGGCGATTAAACAAACTTTTCAGGATGAATAAAGCAAGAAATAATCAGAGGTGGTATCGTAGTTTTTTATTCTTTCATCATAGCTTTAATGTGCACTTCTTCAGTCAAACACAGCGGCGTCCTGCTTTTACAGTGAAACAAATGCAAAAACAATGCAAATCAGCTGATTAATATTATATTTACTTGTTCGTGTTCCATGGTTCATATTTAAACTGTTTTAAAAATGCTACTGGCACAATATCTACAACAGTAAGAATTTGTGATTTGAATGTTGTTTCCAAATGAAAGGCAATCAATAGGGGAATATGATTTTTAGGTGCAAATAGAAGGCTATTATTACCATTGGGGCTATTACCAGCAAGTGCTAACTGGGCTATGCTAACATGGGGTATTGCACAAAAACAAGATAAGGGATTATGGGATTTTCCAGTTTTCCTGGCTGAATTTAGCCCTGACTCGGTTGCTTGAAGGGAGGCTAAATTAATCTATATTAAGTTACTATGGAGATTTACACTTTACAGCTAGCCTGCTCTGGAGCAGGCTAACAACCAGGCTAAGATTAATTCTAGTAATTTATTGGCTAGTTCCTCTTCCTCCCTAAATCCTACTAGATTTCAATGTGTTTTAGTCACTTCATGGTCCTGCATTAAAATACTAGATATACTGTCATTCATACAATTCAATATTCATACAATGTGAAATAGAATCAAGTATGTATATCTATATATGCAAGTATAGAGTAGAAATGTACTGTTGAATGAGAAAAAAATATCAATATAATATATTTTATTGCAGTTTTATTGCAGATGAGATAAGAAATGGCTCATAAAGTTGCAAATGTGGTCCGTAACAAGGTCAATATGTAGTATAGACTCGATTTGTGTGTTCCCTATTCACAATGGCTTGCCCTTTGTTGGATGATGTAGTTGATGCACATATTGCACATATATCACCTTCCCTGGTCACCGAAGATTCATGCACATGAAGGAGGAGTTCTACAAGATTGCAGGTAACACGAATAATAACAGATTACTACAAAATGTTACATTAGCAGAGTCACAGAATGACACTCATTCTTTTGTGTTACAGGTTTTCCTAATGTAATTGGTACAGTGGATTGCACCCATATTGTATCCAACGCCCCTCAGGGGCACATGAGGGAGATTATGTTAACAGGAAATCCTTCTGTCATGGTTACTGTCAGCTACATAATTATTCTGTGCATTAAATGACCTTAATTGGCTATGCATTTTTACAGATGATCTGTGATTCTGACTGCCTTATCACAAATTCAGAGGCAAAGTGGCCTGGCTCAGTCCATGATTCCAGAAACTTTCAGGCCAGTAGATTTTAACAGAAACTCTATCTAGGTAAGCCACCCCATTTTTAAGCACCTTTAAGCACTCACAAGTACAGTATTTGTAAGAATTATGTTTTGTATCCGCAGTTGAGTTCTCTGATGTGCTGCTGGGGGACAAAGGCTATGCCTATTTCTGATGACTCCCTGCCTGGCTTAGAGACCCCCAAACGCCAGCACAGCAAGCTTACAACCATGTCCATGCCAAAACCAGGGCTCAAATTGAAATGACCTTCGGCCTCCTGAAATCATAAAAACAGACAAGTAACAATGTAGACCAGCAGACAAAAAACCAAACAAGATCTGGAGAACATCCATGGGTTAAACAGCTTAAATTCAAGCCATCTATACTTCTCTCGTCTCACTTTTCTTTCTGTTAGCTATATCTTTCTTTTCCGTTAAGAGAATCGATTCTAAGTTAAGTTTTTCTGCAAAGTTTCGTTATCAAGTTTTGACTGCAAAGCGCTTCCAACTTCAAAAGACTTTCATCCATCCGCCAACACACCATGTGATTGGCCGCCACAAGATTTACCCAGGCAAGATGAGACCGCCAAACAACGAACACTGGGAAACACCTTTTTATGCCGACAAACGCAAGTATACCTCCAGACTCTTAGCTGAACTGGTGCATTGAGATAACCCAGCAAACACAAAACGTTTTTACAACTTTTCACAACGTTGTATTTTGGTTGTATGTTGTAGTACAACATTTTAAAAAACTTTTTGATACTTTTTTTATGGATAAATAATGTAACCAAAATAAAACGTTTTAAAAACGTTGTGAAAATAGCAAACTTGTACGTTTTCTTTAAGTAGTCAAAAAAACGTACACATCACGTTTGTTTACTGCTAAAAGGAAACTAGACCAAACTACATTGCCTGCACTGTTATTAAAGGCTGTTATTTAGTTTGCTTTGATGAGCTTTTGACATCTAAGAGGTCATTATATTATAAGAATATCCTGTAAGTTTCAGAACTGAAAACATCTTGTTAGTCCAATAAAAGCTTTTATTGACTCCAGGCTCAGCAAACGACTTGTTTTAAAAGTGGGGAACTATGACGTCAAAGAGGATAAAACCCCACCCTGCAGAAGAGGATCAACACCTACTTCACCATGGCCAGTTTAGCCTCGCCCACCGATTCGCGCATTACACGCATAGCTAAACAACATAGGCCTACCTCGTGACGACAAACCAGATTGAGCTACCAAGCAATACTAAATATTGTGCAGTGCCTGGTTGTGGATGAAGACAGTGGCTGCATAAGCTTCCTCTGGATTCTAATAGGACTGCATAATTAAACTTTATTTTTAATGATGTTCCAGCTGATGAGGGTTAAACATTGTTCGTCTGTTCACTTCATTTCACTGAGGACTGTTTTGAGAGTAAAGAACGGTGCTGTGCCATCTATATTGAATCTGACAGGAATAGTGCAACACACAGACTTTGGGTTGAACATGTGCGAATCATTCCGGTTGCCATTTTACAACATTGGACGTTTTCAAAACAATTTTCCCAACATACACCGACGAGGTGAGTTGAAACTCATTATAATATGCAAAACTGTTATTCACTCATAATTTTTTGTTATCCACTCATATTTTTTTGTTGTCCACTTATAAATTTTTGGCTTCAATATCTCGAAAAGATGAGTCTTTCTTGTAGCATAAGCTAACTTACGCAATACGAGAGAACCTCTGGTAAGAGAACTATGAAATATAAGGTTATATATTACATCATTTTATAATTCTGTTAAATGTACCATTTTTGGAAGTAAAAAAAACAAAACAAATCATCTTATAAATTTACCATGCCAAAGCCATTACGTAAGCCACTTCACGGTTGATTTTTTATTTTATTTTAATAATTATGCTTTTTAATCTTTTGTTACCAGTTATGCACATTAGGGTTTTATGTTACATTATATTTCTCTTATTATTTAATATTTTTTGTGTGTGTTGTGTGAGTTTATACTGTTTGGTATTTGTGTGCATGACACTGCAAGCCTTCCATATGTATTAATATTTGCCATAGCTCTATTAGATAAGCTGCTTGTGATTAAGTGATTTATGTATCTTTTTCTTTCACTTTTAGAAAACTTTAGGGGGGGTGGTTGTGTACATTTTTTAGCTGTCATGCAATTATTGCCACAAACAAATATATATATTTTTTCTTATAGGTTGATATAAATCATTGTCACATAATGTTTGAAGTGGTTCATGATTATTCACACTGTTTTACACTTTGTTTAGATCATCATATTCGAAAATGTCAAAATTCATAATTTTGTAGTAGATTGTCAGTTTAACATTATAATTATAAAATCTACACATAATGGATAATTGGAAAGTAGAAAAATTCAAAAAAATTCAATGCATGTGTGTGTACAGTATTTATACAAAATAATTATACGCAGTGCACCCACATATATTATGTAAACACAAACTTTTATTTTGGATGTGATTAATCGTGATTAATCATTTGACAGCTGTAATTTATATATAAGTGCGTGTGTGTGTGTGTGTGCGTGTGCGTGTGTGTGTGTGTGTATATATATATATACTGATAGTAGTGTACTATGTACATACTAATGTATGTAAGTAATGTATTGCTGCTATGCTAGTTACTCTAGTTATTTTAATTTTCAATTTTATCTATTTTAATAAAGTTGTTGAACGAACAATGTTGTTGACTCAGCAATAGTAAGAACAAACTAACTTAAAACCGGTCTACATTTAATTGTGTGGGAAAATGATGCATAGCTTTACTAATAATGAACTTCCAAGAAAAGGGCTATTCATTTGATTTGAAGTGGGTGTGTCTACTGACAGCTGGTACAAACTGTTTCAGTGAGGAACTGCCAGTTACAAAAAAAGACTAGAGTTGTGATTCCTGCGGTAGATTATGCCTTACTATGGACACATCAATCCCTTCTCTTCTGCTGGTTCTGTGGCTCAAGAGTTTCCTGAACTGGCTTGTGGTCATGTTACAGCGACACTACATGATCCGGAATTTCTCGGGATTCTTTAGCTTTTCCTTGGCATTGATTGACAGTCTCTTGAGTTTTGTCCTCACAGCTATTTTCTATCTGGAGGATGTCAGCATCTCAGGCTGGCACTTCACCGGGTACTATATTTGCCTACTGACTCAGATTGCTTGTTTTATCTACGCCATGCTACACTGGCCAGTGTTCCTCCTTATGGGACTAGATAACTTCTGGACATTATCATCAAGCTCAAGACACACATCCTGGACACAAAAGCTTACTTACATTGCGGGAGTGTGTCTCCTTTGGATTCTAGCAGCTTTGTATGTTTTCTGGGAACCTGGCGTTGTTCCACTGTTTAGAGATGACGTGAAGCACCAATGCCAACTGTTCAGTAGCCCTCAGAGTTCTCAGATACTTGTTGTGTTGCTACTGACAGTCACATTTGTCATTCTTTACACGTATGCTCCTTTTGAGAAATGGCGGGTGCAGGTTTTTCTGCATTACACTCCACAATGCTGTTTGATTTGTTTAAGGCGGGTTATGCATACGTTTCTCAGTACGTGGGCCTCGTTTCTCGTTCTGATGATCATTGCACCGATGCTAATGATAGAGATGCATGCACTCCTGCAGTTAAACGTCATCTGGTTGAGTTTCCTCAACAGTTTTTCTGTCGCTTTGGCACTGTGTGGCCGGTCTTTTGCCCAGCATTCCCAGAAAAGTGACACCATTACAGATGGTTTTTGTTCGTGGTACGTTTGTTTTACATATGGAGCTGACGAGTGGAATTATGGACAACAAACTGACCGCACTGAAGTTAAAACGTTTTAAATGTTTGACCATTTATTGTGGAGTAGACCTATGCGTAGCCTATTTGTTTTTTTTTTGTTTGTTTTTTTTTTTGTGTGTGTGTGTGTGTTTTTGTTGTTGTTTTGTTTGCAATACAAAAAGAAAATTATGTGGTTTGTTAAAAAAAAATATTATTTCCCTGTAGTACAGTAATTCTCAAAGTGTGGTCCGCCATCGTCCCCTAGTGGTCCGCGAAAAGATGACCTAAACTAGGCAAGTGTTTACAAAATTGTCACTTTTTCGCACGTACCAGTGTGATCAGTCTTCTTGGCTGATCCCTGGAGCGTACGATCACACCGCTGTGATTAGAACGGTCAGTGCATCACATGATCAACTGCTTAATTCAAATGTGCTTCCTATGGAGTCAAAGTAGGGCCATATATATCTGCAAAATAAAACAATGATTCGCAAAAAAAATATATGTTTTGCAAATAAAAACAAATGTTTTGCAAAAAAAATATATGTTTTGCAAATAAAAAAAATGTGGTGCAAATAAAAGTAGAGTATTGAGGAAAAAAATTCTGTTTTGCAAGTAAAAAAAAAATTGCAAAAGAAAAGTTGACCAATGGGGGAAAAAAATAAAGTTTAGCAAAGTAAACTTTGACTTTGCAACACATACTTTCCCTTTGCGCCGCTCCTTTAAATCCGCGTTTCAGTCATCCGTGCCTCTGCGGCGCACGCTTTGCTTTACGGCTTCCTTTTTCTTTTGCACCTCGCTTTGTGTCCCTGATTTGACGTGGGGGCGGGGTCAAGAGGTTGGGGTGTGTACAACATAGACATCATAGGTAGACGCCCTATCGACCGCTACTGCCTATTAGCACGGACGAGAATTGGAGCCGCCATCTTAAACCGGTCATCCGCTCCGCTCAGTGTAATCTGAATAGGCAGGTGAAATGAGGCTGTCAGCGCATTAAATTAATCATATCTCACTGAATACTGAACTGATTTTCACGGGGTTTTTTTGCTGCAAAGGTCATACATGTAGCTATGATACAGGACACATGGTTCGGCGTATTTTAATATCCATTGTAGGTTAACAGTAATATAATATTCTGATATAAGATATAAAGTGACCAGACACAATATATGTGATGAAGGATATAATGTATTTTATAATTTACACACTATAAATATAATAAAGAAGCAGAAACAGATAGTAGCAGTAAAGTAAGATATTTTAATAAGTTGAAGAAACAGTTTATGATTGACACACGCACATACACACGCACACACGAACAGACACACACACACACACACTCTCTCTCTCTCTCTCTCTCTCTCTCTCTCTCTCTCTCTCTCTCTTCACACACACACACACAGAACGCAGCCACCTGTAATAAAAATTGAGAAGAAGCTTTTCAACGTGTTTGCATCAGTAACGTTAATTTCTAAAAATTAAATTCAGACAACATTAAGCCTATACCTTTTTTATTGTATGTGGATGTAGGAGGGGAAAATGTCGAGACTAAAGCCCTATCTTGATTAACTTAACAAGGGTAGATGGGGTAAGTTAATGTAATTTTACCAACAGGACTTCTGTATCAATAGCCAAATCGCATGTGGTAAGATATAGGTTATCAATAAAACTAGAAGTTGGAGAGGTAACTCAATTTGCGCATCGCTGTCATGCGTGTAGGCTATATTACGTTGCTTTCTGATGTGCGCAAACACAAATAACCTATACAACAGGGCAGTTGAATGCTTATCTGACAACCTAGAAGCTCTTGTAATTATTACTTTAACAGTTACCCCACCTCTCCATGCCGAGTGAACACCGGCTGATGCAGTAAACAGCATTTCACAACGATTTCAGTACAGTTATAGAACATATCCTTGCTCCTTCTCGATTATCTGGTAATATTCTATTCACAAAATACAACCAATAGTACGGTAATGTTAAGACTTACTTGTGAAAAGCCCTATTTTCGGTGGTCCGGCGATTAGAACAGGAAAATGCTCCACAGTGCTCTGGCATCTTATCTGCTGCCACGCAACGAGACTAGGAAGACGACCGGTTCAAGATGGCGGCCGGATTTCTCGTTTTCCAGCGGCCAATAGGGTATCTAGTCTCTATATGATATCTATGCTTGTACACACCCCAACCTCTTGACCCCGCCCCCCACGTCAAATCAGGGACACAAAGCGAGGTGCAAAGAAAAAAGAAGCGCAAAGGAAAGCGTGCGCCGCAGAGGCACGGATGACTGAAACGCGGATTTAAAGGAGCGGCGCAAAGGGAAGTATGTGTTGCAAAGTCAATGCTGCTGAAGTTTTACTTTGCTAAACTTTATTTTTTCCCCCATTGGTTAACTTTTCTTTTGCAATTATTTTTTTTACTTGCAAAAAGCATTTTTCGTCAATACTCTACTTTTATTTGCAAAACATTTTTTTTTTTGCAAAAACATTTTTTTTTTTGCAAAACATTTTTTTTTATTTGCAAAACATATATATTTTTTGCAAAACATTTTTTTATTTGCAAAACATATATATTTTTTGCAAAAACATTTTTTTATTTGCAAAACATATTTTTTTTTTTTTGCAAAACATTTTTTTATTTTGCAGATATATATGACCCTATATTTACTCCATAGCTTCCCCGCGTTGGCTGGCGCAGAGACGGGCGCACTCAGTGCTGCTGTCATATTCACGGACGCAATTTCCTATGGCAGGGGTCTACCGCCCCCTAAACTTCTGCCCAGCCCCCCTAAAAATTTGTGATTAATGTAGCGGGCACCTTGACGTCAATTTGACATCAACAAATAATCAAGATTTTGACCACCGTGTATAACATGGATGAATATGGATATTTTCATTATATTTCGTAATTATTTCATTGTGGTTGTAAAGAGGCACAACAAAGGAATCAATCTGACCTGTTTTTTCTGTTCCCTACATAGGTCAATTTCATTGACATTAAATCGATGTTGATTTGACGTCAGGAAATAAAACGTCAATTTGATGTGAAATGTATATCAAAACAATGTGTGAAAAGTAGCCTATTTTTTTTTTCTTTTTTTACTGGGGCCTCAAAATGCATCCATATAGAAAAATATTTTGAATCAGTTGTTGGATTTCTGCATGAACATGGATTTCTGTAAATTCTGTGGTTAAAAACGAATAAACAAAAAACAATTTAAAGATTGTAGAAATAAGAGGTGAACAGTAATTATTATATTTTACAAAAATATACTGATTTGAATAAAAAATACTGACAATAAAAAATGAAAAAAATGCAACATCTTTGGAAAGAGCATGATGCATTCATTTTTCATTTTTTTTATTATAATTAAGAAAATCCTGGGTTTATTTTATTAAAAGTATATATTTTTTATTTTTGTAGTGATATTATATACTTTAAAATTAATCGATAATGAAATTGTAATACCCTATAATGTTACTATAGTTTTACAAATACATGTTAATTTATGGAAAATTTACATTAGTCTACATATTTTAAAATTATTTAGATTTTCTTGTTTTCAACTGATCGATGCAATGCTAGGGCTCTTTAAAAAAATCATATTTATTTTTCACAAATTCCATTTTTTTTTTCTTAATTTTTAAATATGAAAAATGTATTAATTATTTTTTTGTGTCTAATTTGATGCAAATCTAATATGACATAATGTTATACACGTATAGGCTACACGTTAAAAAATAAAATATTTTTTTAGGAAGGATTATGTTGATGAACGTTGAAACGTACGTCATCACGTCGCCTTGCGTAAAGAGTATAGTGCGCGCCAGAGCCGTTGCTGCTACGCTCGAGGTGAAGTCGAAGCAGCCGGAGACGGTTGGAGCTATTTATCAGGTGAATAGCTAAACATCTCATGAAATAAAACACAAGGTATATTGGGTAACTTTGAAAACTTAGAAGATTGTGTTTTGATTAAACATTTGACGTTGCAATGAGTATTTTGTTCTTTTTGGTGAATTTAAATTTCCCGCCGGTTAATGTAGCTACAACATTACTGTGAAGGTTTCTGAGGTAAAGTTAGATTTAACGTTAGATCCATCCATTAATCTTGTAACGATTGTTTTGTTTTGTTTTTTGTCGCGAGTAATGTTAGTTTTGTACAATTTTTGTTCGTAGGTTACTAAAAATGACCTAGGCCTATTTTTTTTTATGTGTGAAACGCAACATAAGCCATATTATAATCATTTGTAACTGCAGTTGCGGCAGCTGTTTCTTTCTCAGCTCGACGAGGCGCTTTACAGTTGCAGAACAAGAGCTTTTTATATTTCGCAGCTGTGTGTTTTGCATTCAAGTACGTTTAATTTCTTGAAATTTCCCACATTAACATGAAGTACATCAATTTGTAATGTCTTTATCAATGCAGTTGGGTCGTTGAATCGTCGTGTACTGAGTCTGACAGTACATGACGATTCAACTGCAATAACTATAGTTATGCGTTCAGAACGACTCGCACACGAATGACTCATTTGAACCGCTTCATTTAAGCTATTGAAATTGATGTGAACGAGCTTTGATCATTTAGTAAGACCACCTAATTCTGTGGCCATTGTTGGCTGAAAAGTTATTGAAGATGATAAAAAGCTTTATTTGATTAAAAGAACATTACTGTTTGTTTGAATAAAATTAATGTTTTATACAACTTATAATTTAATAATTGTAATTTTCATCTAATTTTATTAAAAATAAGATTAAGTCAATTTGGTTAAGCCACTTAAAGGTATGGTAGGCCTATCAGTAATATTTAACAATATAAATTCGTCGTTTGGGAGATCAGTATGACGTGTGTGCCTTGACACCCCCCACCACACACATCACAGTAATGTTAGGTAACGCATCACGTTTACAAAAGATGAAAAATGCAACAAGCTAAACAGCACTGACAGTTATCGCCAGAATAAAAATGAATAAAACCCAGATTCAATGTGATCAGCCTCTATGTGCTGTTTGGTTTAACAATGGTCACAATGGAGTTGCACAACTTTGGCCAAACACATATATACGATCACGATTATCATGTCTTCAATTCAATTTTACAATGCGCAGATCTTATATTTTATGTGGCTAATAATTACATATTGATAATATAATAATACAAGTACCAAGTAAAGCATGACTCTTGCTCTTGACTTATAGAGACAGGGCAGAGCTACATAGAGCGTTTGGAATTTTTTTTTTAATGGAAATAATTTTTTTGTAGACTTTTTGTAGGCTATAATCTCTTATGCTCTATATTACTGCAGAAGTGTCCATGTCTGCATCACAAAAATATTTGTTTTAGCACCTCTATATGCTAAATTCAATTTATTGTTTTTGTGTCTCTATAGATGGATAATACAACTAACAGATTAAAATACTAACAAGTAAGTATCTGGTTTTG